CACCGAACACCGGACGCGGTACCGGGGTAGTGGAGGGGGACCGTGGGCACGGAGGAAAGTTTGGTGGTGAAGTTTGGGGGTGAAGAGCCCTCCGGGGAGCCTGAACCTCCTTTTCGCCCTGCCGCGGGGGGTCTGCTGTCACCCCGTGTCCCTCGGGGCTGCTCTCCGGAAGGACGGGGCGGGCGAGTGGCGGTGACTTTCTAGGGACACCCTGGGGACAGCCCGGGGACAGTGTGGGGACACCCTGGAGACACTTTTCCTGGGGTGCCAACCCCTGGAGGGCTCCTCACACCAGTCATTGGTGCTTCCAGCACTGCTGGGACACGGTGGAAAAGCCGAGTCCTCAGGGTCTTGGTGGGACACATCACCCAACCCACCTCATCCCCCAGTTTTTAGCAACTGAGCAAACCGGAGTTACTGGGAAGGGTTTTTGGGGTGCCGTGCCCTTGGGCCCCCTTGTCCCAGTGCCAGAAGGATGCTCACGGGTGGGCGTTGGGCTGGGGGAATTCTTACCCTCACCCCAATAACCTAGGGGTCCCCCAGGCCTGATTTCCCAGCTTTTCGCTTTATAAACCACCCAGACCAGAGGTTTGGGGTGCCCTGGGAGACGGTGGCAAGCACAGGAGACTCAGAAAATCCTGCTGGGTGCCAGCATGGCCCCCCACAGAGTATTTTATTGCTATCATGTGGTTTTGGGGCACTTTCTGGTGATTTTGAGGTGCAGTGGGGGGCAGCTCCTAAGAAGGGAGTGGGGCTCGGCTGGCGCCGTGCTCAGGGGAGGCCTATTTATAGCCAAAAATGTCTGTGGAGTGTCAGCACGTGTGCGTGTCACCGGCTTGGGTGACATGGGACAGTCCTGGCACGGCCGGCATGTGGCCCTGGGGAAGCCCAAATTCTCCTGGCGGGTGGGAGTGTGGCCGGGGAGCCCTGGCCAGGGCAGGGCATTGCAGGCGGAGGAGCTGTGCCATGCCTTTCCATGCCCAACTGCCCCGTGCTGTGCCGCGCGGCCGTGCCGAGAGGAACCATCTGCTCCCGGCCCTGGCCCTGCACCTGGCAGGCAGGAGACTGTTGGGGGGCTGGGGGAATGCCCCCCAGCTCCTGCCCCTTCCCAGCCAGAGCATGGCTGCTTGTGGACATGGAGGAGATGTCAGATCCAAGTGTTTTGATGAAGTGGAGCAATGGGGACGTGCCCGGCTCTGGGTGGCGGTGATGGGGCAGAATTTTGGGGTGTTTTGGGGGATTCTGATGAGTTTCTGTGCACTGGAAATGGGCTTTCCGGCAGCATGCTGTGGCTGTGAGGGATGAGCCAGGGAGAAGGTTTGAGGGTGCCATATGTACCAGGTGCCAACCGCTGCCCCAGCTGGCCTTGTGGTGTTGGGGGACATTCCCTATGCCCGGCGGGGGGACCGTGGTGGTGGCACGGTGCCAGCCCCTCACCGGGAAGTGCTGATTCACCGTGCCGAGCCACTGGCCGGGGAAGGCGACGCTGCCCGGGCCACGGCCGCAGGATGCTGGCGGCAAGGCCGGCATGCTGGCAATCCCAGCTTTCCGCACGCTGAGCGGGAGGAATGACAATTCCCGGGTGGCGGGTGCTGGTGGCGGCGTGGCTGTGGCAGGGAGGGATGCTCAGAAGGCGCCCGTGCGGCGGAGGGAGATTTAAAGGGTGGGTGAGCGCCCGCGCTCGTAATGCTCCCATGGGCCTGCTGTAGCTCCCTTCGGCGTCATCTCCTCCTCCTCTTCCTCCTCCTCCCCCACCTCCTCTTTCTCCTCCTCCTCCTCCTCTTTCTCCTCCTTGGATGCTTGCAGCCATGGCCCCGCTGCTGTGTTGTCGGGGACACGGTCAGAAGTCAGGTATCCTGCAGAGACCTGACACAACTTAGCACACTCGTCCTGCTGGCGGTCCCTGAAGTTTTGGGGGCAAAATCCCCAAATTTGGTCTCTCACAGGGCTTTCCTGCCAGGGCAACTGGGTGCTCTGGCAGGGGCACAGAGTCATGGCATGAGGGGCTGCAGGGTCAGCTCCAGCACCCTCCTGCCTGCTCCGGTACACACCTGCATGGCCCTGCACTCACTTGTGTGCCTGTTGTGTGTGTCCCATGCACGCTCTGGTGTGTTCCTGCATGTCCTTTCTCAGGAATACACACTCTGGCACATTTCTACTTGTCCTTGTTCACCTGTGTATGCTCTGGCATGTCCCTGTGTGTCCTTGCTCACAGGCACACTCTGTCACACTTCCGTGTGTCCCCGTTCACATGTGGATGCTGTGAAAAGTCCCCTGCATGTCCTGGCTCACAGGTACACACTCTGCCACCCTTCTCCATGCCCTACCTCACACTTGCACACGTTGGTGTGCTCCTGTGTGCCCTTGCTGTGCTGCTCACACTCCTGCACGCTCCTCCATGTCCTTGCACGCTCCCGGTGCCTCCAGGTCCAAGCCAAGGCCCTGCCTGCGCTGCCCCGATTAGGGTGCGGAGCTGGGGTGTGGCACAGCCTGGGCTGTCCCGATAACCCTGCCAGGGGGGACCTGGGGGATCCCCGGGGCATCCAAGGGGGACCTGGGGGCCCATGGGTTGTCACAGCTCATGGGGATAAGCAGGGATTTGGGGCAGATGGGATTCCTCCTGGCACCCACAAATGAGGGCTCTGCGCAGCTCTGGGTCGCAGGGGAGATCCTGGACACGCTGCTGGCTGTGGGGAGCCCCAGCCCATCTCCTCGCACCCCTCAGGGGCCCCAGCAGCCATGGACAGCTGCTCAGAGGCATTTTTAGATACCAGCCATGTCCTATCTGTGTCTCAAATGTCCCCGGGGGTGGGTGGCCCCCCCCTGCCGGCAGCTGTCACCCACTTTCTGCCACCAGTGCTGGTGAAGCCCCTCTGCAGCGCAGGGATCGGGGTGGGGGTGAGCTGCAGCCCCTTCCCTGAGGGCATCCAAGGATTGGGGGAACACCTCTGGGGGCCTGGGCTGGGGTTTCAGCTGGGCAGAGGGAGCCGGGTGGGGACGCAGCACCGTAAATATCCATTAGCCCGGCTCGTCAGGGCTCAGCACGGGGGTCCTGGAGCGGGCAGCTGCCAGGTGCCCCCCCAACACCTGGGTGGGGCGAGGCTAAATCCCTCTGAGCAGCTTATCCCGGGGCTCTGAGCCGCAAATCCCCACGTGCCGCGGGGCCGGTGAGCCGCTGTGGCCGCACCGATGCTCACGGTCCCGCTGTCCCCCAGGGGCCTCTCACCGGTAGCCGACGGCCACTGGGCCGGGGCACATTGGGACCATGACCTCGGCCAATGACTACGAGCAGCTGGAGCTGCAGCAGCAGTACAGCCGCATCAATGTCCGCTGGGACGCGTCTGACGATGAGCTGGACAACGACAACAGCTCCGCACGGCTCTTCGAGCGCTCCCGCATCAAAGCCCTGGCAGGTGGGTGGCAGGTCCCCTCGGTCCCACCTGGGTTGTCCCCACTGTCGGTGACACCGTGCCCGCTGTCCCTGCAGATGAGCGGGAGGCCGTGCAGAAGAAAACCTTCACCAAGTGGGTGAACTCGCACCTGGCTCGTGTCACCTGCCGCATCTCGGACCTCTACATGGACCTCCGGGATGGGCGGGTGCTCATCAAGCTGCTGGAAGTGCTGTCAGGAGAGCTTCTGGTAGGAATTTCATACAGCTGGAGACCCTGTGGCCTGCCACGCCACGCCACACCATCTCTCTTGGCGCTGGCCAAGGGTTGGGGTGGCAGCATGGGTGTGGGGGTGTCCCTGGGCAGGGCTTGGGGTATGTGGTGTGGAAGGGAGGGTGCTGAGCACTGTCACGCCCCAGCCCAAGCCCACCAAGGGCCGGATGCGGATCCACTGCCTGGAGAACGTGGACAAGGCGCTGCAGTTCCTGAAGGAGCAGCGGGTGCACCTGGAGAACATGGGCTCCCACGATATCGTGGACGGCAACCACCGCCTCGTCCTCGGCCTCATCTGGACCATCATCCTCCGCTTCCAGGTGAGGACAGGTGGTTTGGGGCATCCCCCTGCTCCACACCTCATCCCCAGGTGGGAGCCATCCTCCATGGAACTTCTGTTAAAGGCCCAGAATGTCCTTTTGCCCCCAGATCCAGGACATCATTGTGGAGACGCAGGAGGGCCGGGAGACACGCTCTGCCAGGGATGCACTTCTGCTCTGGTGCCAGATGAAGACAGCAGGGTAGGTGGTGGGATCACCAGGCAACTGTATTAAGGCCCAGGAGTGTCCACAGGGTGACACTGACACCCTGTCCCCATCGCAGGTACCCCCACGTGAATGTCACCAATTTCACCTCAAGCTGGAAGGACGGGCTGGCCTTCAATGCCCTCATCCACAGGCACAGGTAGGTGGTACAGCAGGATGCACTGGGGTGGCAGTGGCACCAAGAGATGTCCCATAGGTGTGTCACCGCTGTGTCATGTCCTCTGTCCCCAGGCCTGAGCTGGTTGACTTCCAAAACCTGACCAAATCCAATGCCCGGCACAACCTGGAGCATGCGTTCAGCGTGGCAGAGCGGCACCTGGGCATCACTCCTCTCCTCGACCCCGAAGGTGAGGCAGTTGCTGCCAGTCCTCATGCCTCAGTTTCCCCTGGGACATTCCCAGGCTCCATGGAGCACAGAGAGGTTCCCAGTACATGGAAGGAGGGCCTGGGTGGGCACAGGAGGGACCTACGAAGCCTGTGAGGTGGGTTGAGGTTGGGTCAGGAGTGACGCCTCTCGCTCACACCGGGCAGATGTGTTCACGGAGAACCCTGATGAGAAGTCCATCATCACCTATGTCGTGGCCTTCTACCACTACTTCTCTAAGATGAAGGTGCTGGAGGTGGAGGGAAGGCGCCTGGGCAAGGTAGGAACAGCACTGAGGCGGTCAGGGGTGTTCTCTTGGGGTGCTGGCCCCTCACACTCACCCTGGTCCCACCGCAGGTCATTGAGCACGCCAAGGAGACAGAGCGGATGATCGAGGGCTACGGGGGGCTGGCATCCGACCTGCTCACCTGGATCGAGCAGACCATCGCCTCCCTCAACAGCCGCAGCTTCGCCAACTCGCTGGCTGGCGTGCAGCACCAGCTGCAAGCCTTCAGCACGTACCGCACCGTGGAGAAGCCCCCCAAGTAAGAGCCCCCTGCTCCCCATGCCCGCCCCCGTTGGGCATGCCCACCCCAAGGGTGCCCAACACTGAGCATTCTGTGGGCCAGGTTTCAGGAGAAGGGCAACCTGGAGGTGCTGCTCTTCACCATCCAGTCGCGGATGAGGGCCAACAACCAGCGTGTCTACACCCCACACGAGGGGCGCCTGGTCTCTGAC